CTCAGGCAGGCACCTGAGATTGCAGAGCTTCCTGCCTGCCCTGGAGGTGGGCTGCCCCTCCCTTTCTCATCCTCTGTCACACCGCCTATTTCAACACTACCCTTCTTGGGCCAACCTTATAACTGCTTCTTATTGCCAAAGACAGTTCCTCGGCCCTGCATCCTCTGGCCACATGTTTACAGAGGGGGTGTGGAGACCAACTGGCCAGTTGCTCTCAACAGAACCCCCACTATTCCCTTCCCCTGGGGTGAGCCATCTCTCTCCCCCCACACACGTAGCCCCTCTCACCTTCCTGACTTGGTTTAGCTGGTTCCCCTCACAAAGTGAGTTCTCATCGATGAATTCTGTCTGCCACACCCAAGGCCTCCTCCAACCTCACCTCCTAGGCAACGTCAACCTCCAGTCTTACAATGAAATACTGAGCGCCTTGTATGTCTGACCTTTCCTCACAGCCTCTTCCTATACAACTGCACACACCACAGCGGGCCCCTTTTCACAAGTGTTATGTAGATTCATCCACAGACCTCGTGGGCAGCCCCAGGCAGCCCTAGAAGGTGGAGGTGGGAACCTCAGTGTCTGCACTGTTATGGGGACAGAGATGGAGCTGGGAGAGGGCTGAGCCCGTGGTCTGGGAGCACAGCGTAACTTTGGGCAGTGGGAACGGTGCCTGGCCATATTCAGGCAGGGAGTTCTTTAATCAGCGGTTCTCAACCTGTGGGTCTCGACCCCTTTGGCGGTCGAACGACCCTTTTACAGGGGTCGCCTAAGATCATCCTGCATATCAGATATTTACATTACGATTCATAACAGTAGCAACATTACAGTTATGAAGTAGCAACGAAAATAATTTTATGGTTGGGCCACAACATGAGGAACTGTATTTAAAGGGCCAGAAGGTTGAGAACCACTGTCTTAAATAATTTAGATATAAAAATCACCAAACCAGAATGGCCTGGAGGTACAGTCAGGACCCACAGATAGGACACTCTGTGCAACCCTGAAGAAGGCCGAGGTTCCAGCAGGGCTTCCCCAGACCACGACCGGACAGGGAAAATAAAAGGGGCCGTCACTCTTCATGCACAAGCAGCCACTCTCCCTGCAACCCCTGGCTAAGGGTTGCTTTTCATGTGAGGTCTCGGTGCTCTTCAAGCCGAGTGGAGTGTCTGGCACAGGGGAGCAGGGGCCTAGGAAGACCCTTCCCTCCCCACCCCCACATGCACAATGCCCACCCTCCCTCCAGGTGAGGGACCCACAACAGGCACAGGAACTCCCTGCCTCCAGACACCAATCCAGGGCCTGGGGAAGCTGAAAAGATGGAAATCTCAGCTCATTACTTCATATCCTTCTTCAGCAAGCTGCTGATAAAATCCTTGGCGTCATCGGAGATCTCATCGAAGGCCTCGTCGTCGAAGTCCCAGGTGGCTGAGGTCACGTTGGCCAAGGTTTCGTTATCGTTGTCACCCATGAAGGGGGAAAGTCCACTGACCCTGGGAGAAGAGCAGGAGAGCAGGTGAACTGGGGGTGAGGGATGAGGGTGAGGGGGAGAAGGAGAATAGGGTGAGATTATCCCCCCAAGTGAGTGCTGAGGTCAAAGGTGAGAGCCGGCAAAGCCCTGCACCCCCAAACGCCCTTGTGCCTGCCTCTCCTCCCGCCTGGGGAAATAAGAGAGGATGTGGCTCTCCAGGCTTTAGTGGCCCCGCCTCTTCTCAGTGCTCACTGTATTTTGGGGTGTCTCTGGACACTTTTTGCCTGTGAGGCTGAGGCAGAAGGAATTTACTTCCGTTTACACAGTACACAGCAGGATACCTCCTCCCTGTCTTCTATTCTCCCCCAGGCCCAGGCCAGAACTTCTCCCCACAGAACCTCTGCAAGGTCCCTGTGCTCCTGCCCCTCCCACGATGGTCACATGGTAGACAGCACCCATTACTGCACCCACTGTCCTGCTCCTGTCAGCACCCAGAGGGCCCAGCACACACGGTGCTCAGCAAGGATGTGTGGATAGATGGATGGTGGACATGGAATCAGCAATGTGGGCTTGGTGTCCCATCTACACTCAAGTTCAGTGCCCTGAGGCATTGAGGCCAAACCAGAAAGCTCCCACAGAGGCCCCGCGGTGGGGAAAGGGCATGCCTGTTCATTCCCTGGGTGACCGTGGACATCCCCTCAGCACTCTGTGTCACAGACTCCTCCTCTGTAAGGAGAACCTACTACTTAACCAGAGTGGTCACCGCCTCCACTTCTCCCTCCCTCCTTCCCCTTCTCCATCACCACCGTCACAGCAGCAAATACTCACTAGGGCATGTGCCAGGCACGGGACAGAGATGAACTCATTGAACCTTAACATCACCCTATAGTGCAGGTAACTCATTAGTTTCACAGATGAGGAAACTGAGGCCCGGGGGTGGGGGTAAGTAACTTGCCCAAGGATTCACAGCCAGTGAGATTTGAACCCAGGTGTTGCAAACGCAGAACCAGTTCAAAACAGTCCTATCCTGTTTAACAAGATGTGAGTTACTTTTCAGAGACAACAGACCAAAACCCCAATGTCACACAGCCGAAGCACGCGCAGAGAAAAGAACTTCGACCTCCAGCTGGACCTGGACCCAAAGTCTCCCCGGCCCACCAGTCACACAAGAACCAAAGGACTGGAATGTAACCGGAACCTGAATGCCACACCCTTCAGAGCAAAGGGTCCGCTGTCCAGGAGATGCAGTGAAGAAGCCCCTCACCATAAACAGCTAAGTTCCAAAGTCTTACATCAACACCGGCCACACCAGCTAAAAACCCTTAACCTAGTCCACCGAGCAAGATGGTTCTGAGGCATTGCTAAGTCTCCCACCTTCTCTGTTGCCGCCTTCTCGATCAATAAACCTTTCCTTACTCCAAACTCTGATGTTTTGAGTTTTGCCATTCGAAGCATCGGGCACAGGAACTTGGGTTTGGTGACAGTATCTGTCTCTAGAGCCTGAATCTTACTTGCAACTTTATACAAACCTTTCCATGAACATGAAGGAAATGGTAGTGCAGGGACCTGCACGAGGCCTGGTCTACAGGAAGTGCTGGGCCCATGACCACAGATGTTCCCCTTCTGCTGTAGACAGTTCATCCCACTGCCTCCCCAGTCTGTGATCTCAGGAATAACTCATTTGCCCATAGCTTACTCCAGATAAAATTCGGATGGTAAAATCTCAAGGAAGAACAGAACAGCTTTATGGCTCAATGGCCTCTCCGCTCACCTCTGAGGACTTCATTGTCACACCACGCATCCACTCCCCATTCACTCTGATCTAGGGCAGCCTCAAGGTTGCACAGGGCCCCACCCTTTGATGCCCCCCACCCCTTGGTTTAATATTCTGCTACTGTTATCTGGAGATTCTTAGTGTTTGGACAACTCATCCCACCTTTAAATTTTGTACTGGGGCCGAAACCGGTTTGGCTCAGTGGATAGAGCGTCGGCTTGCGGACTGAAAGGTCCCAGGTTCGATTCCGGTCAAGGGCACGTACGTGGGTTGCGGGCACATCCCCAGTGGGGAGTGTGCAGGAGGCAGCTGATCGATGTTTCTCTCTCATCGATGTTTCTAACTATCTCTCTCCCTTCCTCTCTGTAAAAAATCAATAAAATATATTTTAAAAAAAATTTGTACTGGGCCCCACAAATTAGGTAGCCCTGATCCCTGAACCCCACGAGATGAATCTGGGCCATTCCTGCCATCAACTTCCCAAGTTAAGGCTTCACTAAATTCAGTCTCCCAAATCCTTAGGAGCCCCTCATCATATCCCCACAAACCCTTCTGGGGCTGTTTCAGCATTCAAGGCCCTCAGCCCCTGAGATACACCCGCACCTGAGAATGAAGTTTTGTAAAACAAAACCCACTGACATACCGTGAGGAAGCCCTGGCATGGAAGGAACCCCCTGGTAAGGCCCTTGTGAGGAGAAGCAAGCTTTGGTAATGTGAATTATCTCACCCCAATCAACAGACTTGCGTTTTTGAATAACAGATTTTTATAGATGGCATTAAAGTGTCTTAGTCTCTGATTTATGTTTTAAGAATGCATGGAGATCATCCTTCTCGGTCACGTAACAGTGGGGGAAGGGTGGGAGCTTATCGTCCCCCGAATCTACGCTGTTACATGCCACTCCCTTCCTCTCTGGGCCCCAGTTTCCCCTTTTATACACCCAGGGTGCTGGCCTACACTTCCCAGGCGCTCCAAGCTTTCCCATCCCTGCCATCCCGTGTGAGCTGTTAAAAAAAAAGGATAACAGGCCCAAGATGGAGTCATTTGCTCTCACAACATCAAACCAAGATTAAATTGTAACTTCAACCTCTTCCAGAAATGTAATCTTGAGTCAATCTGAAACTCCCTGATTAGCCCTAGGGAGGTCATCTGCGCAACAAAACTCTGCTGGTCCCTTCCCACCCCTCTCCCCTCCCCAAAGAAAAAGTCCGAGCCTGAAATAACCCTTTCTCTCCTTTTCCTAGGACTCCTTTAGCCTATAAAACCCTTCCATTTCCTACTGATGCTGGGAGCATCTCTCTATTTACTAGATGGGATGCTGCCTGATTTATGAATCGTTCAATAAAGTCATTTCCACCTTCACATTTACTCCACTGAAGTTTTGTTCTTTCGCAGACCTCAGTTAGGCCCACCAAGAAGCAGCCCAACTCTTGCTTGTCAGCCACCTGCTTCTTTCTGTTTTGACATTTTCCATTTGAAACAGAAGGGGGAAGTGGGGGGAGTCCTTCAGCACTCCAAAAGATTGCAGAAAAAGCAAACAACCCAGCTGTGGAATGCTGAAAGGCCCCCTTCTGTAAACCTCCCTTCCTAATTAGGAGCTGTAATCCTGCAAAGACAGGCCTTAATCTCTGTAATGTTCACAGCCAGGGAGAGCCTCCTCACCTCTGGCCTCTGGCGCTCCTCCTTCCTGGCAGCCCATCCATCTGAAATACCCCTGAGCCCCAGCTGGCTCCTCGCCTGACTGAGCTCCCCCAGCACCTCCCTTATTAAAGAGTGTGTCTCTAAAATAAAACATGGTATTTATGCAGAGCGTGATAACAAAGAGAGTGTTCTAATTTTAGTAATGCTGTTTCTGGGTGGTGGGATTTTACAGATTTTTTAAAAACTTTCTTTGAACTTTTACTTTGTTGCCAGGATTTACATAAGGATCAAGCATCATTTGATTAGAAAATTAACCCAATAACAAACAGAATAATCGTAGCATTAAAACTCAACCACTCACCTCTCTTCCTAGTCTTTTTTTTTTTAATATATTTTTATTGATTTTTTACAGAGAGGAAGGGAGAGAGATAGAGAGTTAGAAACATCGATGAGAGAGAAACATCGATCAGCTGCCTCCTGCACACTCCCCACTGGGGATGTGCCTGCAACCCAGGTACATGCCCTTAACCGGAATCGAACCTGGGACCCTTCAGTCCGCAGGCCGACGCTCTATCCAGTGAGCCAAACCGGTTTCGGCCTCTCTTCCTAGTCTTGCCTAGTTTTTAATTGATCCCAAATATGGCATAAGGATTGTCTTGAGCTGAAGGCAATTAGCTCTCTGTCCTCTCTCTTTCTGTCTAAAAGCAGGACATAAATTTCTCTTTGTTAAGGTGATATACATTTCCATTTGTAGAGGAGGAAACTCTTATATGCATAACAAATTTGCATAACAAACTTGCGAAACAATCCTTATTGACCATACCTTCCCTAGGATCTTCTAACAACTTAACCCCTCCAGAAGCCTTGCCCAGACCCTTTTCTCTGGTCTAATGACTTCTCTCCAATTTATTGCTCTTTGTTAAAACAGTATATAAGCTTCAGACCCTAAATGCCTCCTTGAGTCACATTTCTTTACCTCTTATGCATATGTACATAGTCAAATCTGTTTTTTTCCTCCTGTTAATTTGTCTTTTGTTTGATTTGCAGGCCCCCACTACTGAACCTAAAAGGGCAGAGGAAAATTTTTTTCCTCCCCAACTTAACCAAAGGATTCATCTGGGTTTCACAAAACTGTTATCAGTGTGGGCAAGTTCTTGGATGCTCTTTTTCCTCACTTGAAATGGCCTTTCACCAGTGAATACAGAGTCTTCATGTTCATTTTTCATGGTCAAATGTTAGTCTTTGTGCTGATGAGTCCCAATGGTCAGTACTGCAGGATGTTCTAATTTTTTAATACCTCACTGCAGCAAAACTCTGCCCAGGGAATCTGACACAAGGTCTGTTCTGCTCCCAGGGCAGAAAGGCAGGAGAAAGGTGAACCCTTTCTTTAAAAAAAAAAAAATAATTATTGATTTTTTTACAGAGAGGAAGGGAGGGATAGAGAGCTAGAAACATCGATGAGAGAGAAACATCAATCAGCTGCCTCCTGCACACTCCCTACTGGGTATGTGCCTGCAACCAAGGTACATGCCCTTGACTGGGATCTAACCTGGGACCCTTGAGTACGCAGGCTGACACTCCATCCACTGAGCAAAACCGGTTAGGGCATGAACCCTTTCTTGAACAAAGAGAAGTGCTTCTTGGACTACACTTTCCCCATGGTGTTTTTCAAGCAGCAGATGACCGGCTGGCTGCATGAACGGCCAGCTAAGGAGACCACACATCTGCTAGCAGAACTACTGATTGCTTAGGAAGAGTTAGCCTTTGATCCCATTTTAGCCTTCAAATACTGAAGTGTGGTGAGAGAACTGCGAGGGTGGGCAGGTCCCACAGGAAGAGCCGGGTATCCTATTGTGCAGTGGCCTAGGAAGCAGAGAGCTGGGGTTTAGTCATGCTAAAAACCACCCGAGAACCTGCAGGTGGTGGCTGGGCCTGGTGTGGGCATAGGGTACCCACGGAGCTGGACTCAGAGAGATGTCTGGCTCATCGGTGGAGAGGAGGGCTGCCCTGGGTGGGGCCACTGCATCCTTCTGAAAAGCCCTACATTCAAACCCAAGTCTGAGTATGTACCCGATGCTTGGGCCCTGGCACTTCACCCCCGTTCACTGCCTGCTGTCCCCAGAAGTTAGACTCTGATGGGGTTGACTCTGGCTCTCTCTCATGGTGGGTGCTCAACAAATGAGCAGAAACGGGAAGTCTCTCACTGCCCCGTCAGGAGGATGGTTGGGAGGAGAAAGCAGAGCAGTAGCTGCTCTTTACCCTGGTTTGAGGGCAGGGAGAGAGAAGGAATGCTGGAACAGGGTGAGGCTGGGCACAGAGGGTGATGCCCCTGCAGGCAGTGAGGGAACACCAAGTGCTCAGGAACAGAGGGCAGGGACGCAGGAGAGGAAGGTCTTAGAGAAAAGGCGGGGCTTAGAAGTTCTTCCACATGGAAGTGTGGCCTAGAGCACCCCGTCCTCGCTTTCCTGCCCAAAATCAAGCAGGTTTTTCTAACACGAGAAGAGTCTCCAGGAGATTCACAAAATGGACTCTCTCTCTTCAGAACAGGGGTGAGAGGGGAGGGACCCCAGAGCCCTGCCTGCTGCATCTCTACTCTGCCTGGAAAAGCCAGGCAGGCAGGGGACCAGGTGTCCAGCACCAGGGCCGGCTCTGCCCTGACCTCTCCCAGGGCTTGAGGAGTCCCTCCAACAAAGTCAGAGCAACCTACAAAGACAGCAGGCAGCACTGGTTGCTGAAGAGGCGCTCATAAATAATAAATGTTATTATTTTAAATAATAATAAATGTTATCACCTGTCCCCCAGCTCCCCGGCCTCCCCATCTCTCCCTGGCCTCAGAAAGGAGATGGAGGGGTGGGGAGGAGGTTCTCTGGTACACATGCAGAAGGTGGCTCGACAGGAACTGCCAGACAGACAACCAAGCTCCAAAGGGAGGGACGGGGTGCACAAAAAATCACTCCCCTCTTGGTAAAGCTTCTGCAACAGCGGTTCCTAAACCTGGCTGTGCAGCAGGGGCACCAGAGAGCCTCTTCTGGGTACTCCAGCAATGGCTCCAGGTTTCTGCACAGCAGGACTGGGAAGAAGCAATCCGTCTGGTTCCAACAGTTGTTGTGGCACCATGTGCTCTGCTGAGAGCCCCAGCTCGGGAGGGAACTGCCCAACCTCAATCCCACTGTGAGAGCCAGCGGGGAAAAGTCCCAGCGGGCAGAGCAGCCCACCGTGATGGGTGCTGGACCCTGGGGGGGGGGGGGACAGGGTGGGGGGGAGGCTTGCTGAAGGCTAAGCAGGGCTGACCAGAGTCCCCACCACACACGCCTCTCTTCCCTCTCCACCTCTGCCCCCGCCCCCAAACAACTTCAGGCTGGTGCCCCACTCATCAGAATCACTTTCTCCCCATTTCAAAAGCTCTGCCCTACTTCTTGGTCTTTGCTTTAAAAATAATCTAGTAAACAATACAACATATTATCCCAATTACTATGTTCCTCCACCTAAAAGGATTTCCATTTTAAAATAAAGTGCTCTTATGACCTAGTGATTCCAGTTGTGGATTATATATGTCCAACGGAAATGCATAAATATATTCACTAACACACATGTATCCAAACCCTTGCAACACTCCAACTAGAATCTACTCCAAAGCCCATCAACACGGAATAGATACACAAGTGGGATGGTGCTCCACAGTGGACACTGCACAGCACCGAGAACGGCTACAGCTACACACAGTAATGTGAATGGGCCTCACAGTCAGTGTTGAGCAAAAGAAGCCAGACCTGTCTTTCTGTGTGATTCCGTTTATATCAAGTTCAAGACTAGGCAGAACTAACGCATGGTCTTAGACATGAGGATTATAGCTATTCTGGGGGGTAGTAACTGGGAGGGCACCAGGAGGGGCCCCGCGGCCCTGGGAGTGTTTTGGTTCATGATCTGGGTTTGGGTTACACAGACGTGTCACTGTGAACATGTACTGAGCAGTTTAGTCACTGCGCTGGCCCTGACCAGCAGGGAGACCACGGGCCCTAGTTGGCCCAGCACTGTCCTCACTTTAGCACTAAAAGTCCTGTACCCTGGGAAACGCGTCAGTCTTGGGTCAACTAGGAGTGTGGGGAGTGGACAGCCACGTGGGAGTCTTTGGCCCTGGTCATCTCAATGCCAAATGGAGGTTGGAGCCCTGCCATGACCCTCTCCCTGGTTTGTCCTGAGGATTAAAGGAGGACCCTGTGAAATCCGTGGCTGCAGATGATCTCGGCTCGTGTGGGAAAGCCGGAGAGACAGTCAGGCACGTCTCTCGTGGCTGCAGAGGGACCCAGGGACCAAGCCAGGCCCAGGACAGTGTGAGCATCGTCCAGCGGGGCAGCCCCAGAAGGAGTAGGCTAGGCCCACTGTCCTGCTTCCTTATTTACCGAGGAGCCAGGCCTCCAGAGTCAGGTGCAGCTTTCTCCACTCATCAGCCCCCTTTTTCTTGGAGAGGTCTGCAAGAGGGAGAGGCAGGGAAACGCACTCCTGGCCGGGCCTTCTCTGCTGCTCTGGGGGAAGCCATGCTGGTGGGGGTGACAGCGAGGAGGGGGGAAGATGACTTGGGTACAGAATCTGTGATACGGGAGGCTGTGATGCTGAAGGAGGCCGTCCTCACAGGCCACAGTGACAGTAAAACTCCTGAGCCTGTGGAAAAGCCACTCTGCACAAAAAATCACTCCTCATTTAGAAAAGCTTGTGTAACAGGGGTTCCTGAGCCTGGCTGTGCAGCAGGGTCGCCCACAGCCATTGCTCACACGGGGGACCCCAGGGGTCCAAGGAAGCATTCTGAGAGGTCCTCCTCATATTTACCATGAAAACGCTTAATTTTTCCTTTTGCTTGAAGAACAAAATCTATTTTTTCACAAAATGAATGCACGCACATCTACACCTTCTGGGTAACCATCCTATAGCTGTGTGCTGCCACACACGTTCGCGGCTGCCTCTGAGGCCGATGGCTGTCTGCGGCCTGGGCTTCAGAGGTGAAACCAGCAAGGTCCCACCAAGAGGGAGTGTGTGGTTTACAATCTGGGTATAGGTCACACGGATGTGTCCACTGTGAACACTCCCACGTGGCTGTCCACTCCCCACAGTCCTAGTGCCCCTGCCTGTTACTATCCCTCCAGGTGTAGCTATAATCCCACCTAAAGCCTGGTCCTCAGTGCTTGATCCTTGGACCAGCACTACTGGCAACCTGGACCCTCCTGGAAATGTGGATCCCCAGGTACCCCAGGCCTTCTGAACCACCCTGCAACCTAAACTGTCTCCGCTGATTTAAGCACGGTACTGTTTTGTGAAGCGCTGGTCCAGAACACTGCAGCGAGGATGGGGTGCTGTCCTCTGCAGACAATGATGACGCCCACAGGAGATGCACACCTGGGCTCCCTCCCTCCTCTCCATGCCCACCTACACAAGTGAAGGTAAATTACATGGTACCAGTCACATTCCCACCGTCCTAACCAGAGGTCCCAGGCTGGCCAGCATCAGGGATGGCGAGGGGCCCGGAAGGCCGGTCCTGGTGTGTGGAGCTAGGTGCTCCCATGGGAGTGTGAAGTGGGCGGCTGACCTCTGGGAGTGTAAGAAGGGCAGGCCAGGGGGTAAGATGGGAGCCTGCCACCCTCCTGACTCTGGGGCAGGCTCGCCACCATGAGCCACCCTGGCCCCTGAACAACAGGGCAGCCTGCGGACCCTCCTGTGGCACTCCCTGCCCCTGCCTCCCTATACCCGAGACTCACAGGATGTAGCAGATGACCCCAATGCTCCACATGTCTGTTGCGTAGCCAATGGGCTCATAGTTGATCACTTCAGGTGCCACAAACTCCGGGGTGCCAAAGAGGACCTTCAGAGACCCCGCATTCTCTGCAACCAGATAGAGAGGGATCACTGGTCAGAACACTGTGGAGCCAAACCCATCGTTCTCGGATGCCCTCATCTGTGTGCCCGGGAGAGACACAGAGGACCGGCCTCAGCTGCTGTCTCCCGGGAGAAGGCACAGAGACCCCGGCCTCCCGTTAAACAAGTACATCAATGTACCATGAGATCGAGCAGCCGCACCCTCGCCTCAGTGCCTTCAGCGGGTGGAGAGGGAAGTAGAGGCTGCTAAACCCCTGTTGCCAGGGCTCTGCCCTGTGTCTGCATCTCCCATGAGTGCCCTGGGGTGGGGCTGGGACCTGTGCTTGGTAATAGTGAGCCCTGCTGCCTGCTTGACAAACTTTCCTATGTAACATTCTCGACAACACCCGGCTCCAAGGACAGGCTCCAGGGAAGTAGAGTGATTTACCCCCCAGTTAACAGTGGTGCCAGGGGTCCTGACTCCCAAGCCAGGCTCCTCCTACTCCACGGCCTCTCCACGTGCAACCTCATCTCTCTCCTCCCAGGAGCTGCCGGGGGGATCGTCAGGAAAACCTTAGCCACAGGTGCCTCTGAGCCATAGAGGACAAGAGCTATCTGGAGTACGCACGCCAGGTGCCAGCTTCTGGAGGGGTGGCACGCCTTTGGCCCATGGCTGCCCCTGGTCCTGTTAACAACATAGCCCCAGTGAGTGCTCTAAGACAATGGCTCTCGGACATGGGAGCTCTGCTCCAGCTCCAGCCTGAACCCTTCCTGCTACATCTTAACTTCCCAGTTCTCTGCCCCGTGGTAGACACCCTGTCCCTACATATCCCCTCTCTAAGGCAGCCTGCCCATTGTGTTCTCTGGGCTCTGACACGCTAGCTCCCTAGGCCAGCTGTGCCCTATTTGTTTAAACTGTTAGGGTTTCCTGCCCACCAGCGGTGGCCCCCACACCGTGCCCTCAGCAGGAGAGAGCAGAGCAGGTGCATTTGCCCAACCTCGGGACACCGATCACCAGGGAGCCACCGCCTGGCGGGACCACCTCCCTCACTTTCCTCTTTATCACCCACACGGTCTCAACCAGGACTGGGCATCCAGAGCCATTGGCTCCTTGCAGGGCGGTGAAGAAGGCCAGCTCCTGCCGGCCCCAGGCCCGTGTTGCCAAGGCTGTGGTCAGGAGGTGGAGGGGGAAGCGGTTTCCTCAATTCCTGGGACCTCACAGAGCTACACAGGGTGGGTGAAGGTGGCGTGTGAAGCAGACAGTCACCCACCAAAATGACCTCGGGGCTGGGTGCAGGTCCCGCCCACCTCCTGCACCTCCCCACATGGCCGGAATAGCACAGGTGCTCAGGAAGCTCAAACTGTGTCAGGGGTCCCTATTCCAGCCCCAGGACCCCTCCTGGCTCCTGGTGGGACCTGCTGGGCAAAGCTACTGTGAGTCTCGTTTTCTTAGTCTATCATTTGGGCTCATAACATCTGCCCTGTGTACTTCACAGGGTTGCTGTGAGAATCAAATGAGAGGAAGCAGCAGGAGACTGAAAACTGGACAGTAGGAGGCAAGTGTAGGAAGCACCATCACAAGGTGCTTTCACTCTGAAGGCACCAGAGTGAAAAATATAAAAGGGACAACAACAACAACAAAAATCCTATATAATAAAGAGGTAATATGCAAATTGACCATCACTCCAACGCACAAGATGTGTGCCACCATGTGGACACAAGATGGCTGGCAAGGGAGGGAAGTTAGGGGTGACCAGGCCAGCAGGGGAGGGCAGTTAGGGGCAACCAGGCCAGCAGGGGAGGGCAGTTAGGGGTGACCAGCCCAGCAGAAAGGGCAGTTAGAGGTGACTGGGCCTGCAGTCCTGGATTGTGAGAGGGATCCCAGATTGGAGAGGGTGCAGGCTGGGTTGAGGGACACACACACTGCTCTCCTCCCCTCCTGCACAAATTTTGTGCACCGGGCCTCTAGTAATAATAATAAATTGCTAACACCTACAAAAGTGCTTACTTACTATGTGCAAGGCACTGCTCTCATCACTGTACCTGCATTCACTCATTTGATCCCCATAACAACTCTGTGAAGTGGGTACTGCTATCATCCCATTTTACAGATGAGGAATTTGGGACTTAGCCTCACAACTAGTAAGTGGTAAAGGTGGGTTCTGAACCTGGGCCATCTCCACAGTCTCTGAATTTAACTCCAATGCTGTGCATTCCCTCTAATACCCAGTGTGTGGGCCATAGCCACTGCCACTGCCACTACATGTCGAGGACAATAGGAGAGGCCTTACCCAGCCTTCTGGCCAGACCGAAGTCGATGAGTTTGATCTTGGTGCCTGTCTTGTTGACACACATGATGTTCTCGGGCTTGAGGTCCAGGTGGACGATGCCCTGCTTGTGGATGTACTCCACCCCCTCCGAGATCTGCCTCATGTACTGGATGCACTCTCGCTCCGTCAACTCGAAGTCCTCATCGATGATGCGCTCGAACAACTCACCCCCTGACACGCTGCGGGGACAGACGGGGGCCGTTAGACCTCAAGATCACAGAGCCTGGGCTGGCAGGGATTCTGGCCAAGGGCAGGTTGGGGGGTTGGGAAGACGAGCAGGAAAGCCCAGGGTATGGGGGTGCCGGGCACTTTTTGCAGTGTCCTGAATCCCAGGCCACTGCCCTGTTACACTGGTCATCTCCACTGTGCGAGGAGGGCCCAGGCCTCCTGGTCTCCTCTTGGGGGACTCTGCCTGTGCCCACTAAGCTGTTGGGGGATTCAGGGAAGCACCTAGGCTGGGTGGTTTCAGGGGTGTCATGAACTGAGAGATCCAGACATGATCTCCTTAGCAAAAGGTTAACTGCTGGGGGCAGCTTCCTTTCCCCAAATGACTATTGATGTACAGGGGAACATTCCTGTATTCTAGCCATGTCTTGTAGTCACAGAGAATTGAAACTTGAAATAATACTCATAGGAAAAACAAAGTATCTTCAACAACAAGCCTCAGCAAATTCGTTGGCTGTAACCTACCACACTTACAGTTATGATCAATCTGCTTCCTCTGGCAAGGCCTGCAGTATCAGCTTACTCGTTCCAGCATAACTGACTTGTCCTGCATGCTTGGGGCCCAGGCTAGAATATAGTACATCCTTCCTGCTTGGATAGACTTTGGGGCCTAGCCATGGTGTTTCTGGGGCCCACAGAGGACATCTTCTGCTAAGCACTGCCCCGGGGTCCAGCCTGCCAGAGTACTGGCCTTTAGTGCAAATGGATGGCCTCTCTTTCGGAGTCGAGTGGTCCTCTCTCTTCCCGTCCCACCCCTCTGACCCACCTTCCTTGCTCACTGCTCAGAAAGTTTAAAGCAGCCGTCGACAACCTTTCGTCCACCAGTAGTCCGTGGACCGCCGGTTGGCGACTGCTGGTTTAAAGCATCTCCTTGGTAACTCATGTAGGCATCAGTCCTCCAGCTGAACAAGACCGGGTGGCTCCATTCTAGGCTAGTTCTCTTCCGAGAGCCTTCTCTCTTCTAAGGGGAGTCATCG